CAGTGGTTAGCGTGCATGGTATCCAGGGTGATCCGGAGTCGAGTTGCGTGTGAACTCTGAGTCGAACGTGTAAGTGTGGGCGCCCAGCGCCATAGTCAACTGAAGTAAATTCGGATTTGAGTTGAGTTGAGTTGCAAGCTACCATATCTCCGAGTTTGAGCTGGGTGCACAGCGCCAGGCTATTCTCATTTGTTGCATGCATGTTTGAGTGTGGATTTGCAAGACTGATTTCATATTGCAGACAATGAAGCATTCTCAAGATGAGCCAATCCACCAATGAAACAGTTTTGCTTGTGAAGTCAATATCTATTCAGCACCTTACCTTTAAGCAAGCAAGGAATGTCACCTTTACACAAGCAATGGAACACACGTGAGATGGGCCAACCCACCAGTAAAAACAATACGAGACACAATAAATTCATTATATCGTTTTCTTGATTATATTTTCATCAGCTAGCATTGGGAGGCCTCCCATTTTATTTGTTTTTTTAGCTACCTTCTTACTCTGTGTACGTGTGTGTGAGACACACACACACACACACACACACACACACACACACACACACACACACACACACACACACAGAGTAGTAGGAAGACTCCAGCCACACACACAGGCACTGTAGCAACCAAGTATAGAAAGAAAAGTTGAGAAAAAAAACAAAGAGGCATCTCCATTCCGCATCCTTTCTGAAAATAAATTTAACAAAATACTGTAAAATACTAAAAATACATGACGATGTTAATGAAACCAGCCATCTTAGACCCTCCTGTTCCCAGGCCCACCTGCCTTTCCCCTTCTCCATAGCCTTCTTCTTTCCCCACAACCTGTCCTTTCTCCCACCTTCATCTTCAAACGTGGAATCGTCAATGCATTTCGTCCGCCCACCCGCAGAGTCTTCAGGAAGCGAACCCAACTGTGTGAATAGTAGCACTTATATAGAGAACACAGAAACTTTCGTAACCGCCATTCTGATATCAAGGAAAGTTGAAAACAATTGCCAATGGCATCCATAAATATTCGGTACACTACTACCCCGTGACATCATAGTAGTTCATACCACCATTGAAACCGTCCTTCAGCTAACCTACCATCTCCAGCCGTATCTAGACTAGAAGTTGCCACAAATACAGCTATAACAACCCTGCATTCTACTCGAGAAGACAGTGGGAACATTGTGAGGACATGAGTAATATTACACAATTACAAATGCTACTTCCCTGTCCTTCGGGATATCTGTTAAAATTGGAACGATACAGAGAAGATTAGCATGGCCCCTGCGCAAGGATGACACGATAAATCGAGAAATGGTCCAAAAAAAAA